CTCCCCTGCTTCCCCAGTCCAAATTTCCCTCCTTCTCTCCCGGCACAATTTAGAAGGCAGCAACTGCCCAAAGCTTCCATACCGATTTCCATACGTAATGGGTAACGGAACCCTGATCGGATTTGAAACCAGGCTAATTCTCTCCACCTGGGCATTCTGCGTTCCACTTGGCACCGTCGCTACGGCTGTGGCTGTTAGCCTCTAACATGTATTTAGTGTCAGCATTGTGTACACACAGTACAGGACATGGGATCTTACAGCAATCTCCTCTGGCAGAAGCAAGAAGGCCAGGCAGTGTCTATAACCCACCGAGTTGTGAAGATGGGGTAGGAGAGGATGCTGTGCTGGCATGGCGAAGACGGAGCTCGAAAGGTAGGCCTCAAAGAAGGAGGCAGGGCGGGAGGCACGCTGACAAACAAAGAGCGGGAGACACTGCTCCAAACGCGGGGAACAACTTGGTAGAAGGCACGAACGTAGCAGTGAGAGAAGCAGGCAAAGGGCGTGAACAGAAGTTCTTTTTCTTGGCCAGAAGCTACCAAGATTTGGCAGGAGCAGACCATTGTCTGTGTGCTTCTGCTTGGAGAAGATGTTCGTCTGGATCAGCCCGTACCTAAGACCCTTGGCCAAGACCCTTGGCGATGACTGCAGCATGTGACTAAAGTTTCCTGGGAAGGATGACTTCCCCCTTTCTTAAGAATATATCTTTTAATCAGAAGCACAAATCGAACCAGGCCAGGATATCCAACTATCACCAAGACGTGTCACAGTGCAACCCTAAGCAATGATGCACCCTTCTAAACCCACTGATCTCAGGAGCCGGAGAAAGACGTGATTCTACTTAGGATTCAGGCCCATAGCTACAGTAGGGCTTTGGGGGGCTCCGTCCCCCTTCTTAAAGGCACAGCCCCACAAGAATTTCTCCTGTAAATGCTTTCCCCCCCCCCAATCGTTTAAAAACATTTTTTTAAATGTGTACGCTCGTTTAAGTAGAGTGGGGTGCTGTAGTTGACTAATTCCTTTCCTTTCATTTATTAGCTTCATTGACCAGAGGTCTTAAGCCAGATGTACAAACAGCTACTATAAAACATTAATTCCTGTACTGAGCAAGCGGGTTGGAGTTGGTGACCTCTACGATCCCTTCTGTCTGCCAATAAACTGGTTTCCTTCAAGAGAGTTTTTCTGCCTGTTAGCTTTCTTGACTATGGAAGTCATCACCCCCACTTGCCAGCTTGTTATCAGAATTGTTGCTTAGGCTGGCAGAAGTTATTAACTTGCAGCAGCTGAGAACTGTCATCTAAAGTGGCTGACAGCTTGCAATTTAGAGATCTATCCTCGTAACAACTCTCTATTGGCTAAATGGCTTTTCTTTCTGCACTAAGAACTTCAGCCCCGCCAGAAAAAGAATTTGCCCCACAGTCACAAAATCCTGGTTACAGCCTGCATATCAGGGGCCTGGTGTGGCGTTTCAGTGTTTCAGATCCTTGTAGTCCAGGGCAAACTGGACACTTCAGCCCACAGTGGCTCCCCTTTGACCCTCACAATTCAAGACAAATGTAGGGGCTCTGCAGTCTACACTAGCTGGCTTCCTACAGAATGTTCTCTACTGCCCTGGAGAACTAGGTGCCTGACTTTCTCCGGGACAATTTCTGCTCTCCACCAGCTAGCCAGGAGCACAGAATCTGCTGTGTGGTGGCGGAAAGTGGCATCAAGTCACAGCTGACTTGCAGCAACCCTGTAGGGTTTTCAAGGCAAGAGACATTCAGGGGTGGTTTGCCATTGCCTGCCTCTGCATAGTGACCCTGGTCTTCTTTGGCGGTCTCCCATCCAAATACTAGCCAGGGCTGACCCTGCTTCGCTTCCGAGATCTGATGAGATCAGACTAGCCTGGGCTATCCAGGTCAGGATGGAATCTGCTGCCAGTATTCAAAATTCATCATCCACAAGCCTCGTAGAAGAGAAGAAGAAATTGGATTTATACCCCCCCTTCACTTGGAGTCTCAGAGCAGCTTACAGTCTCCTTCCCGTCCTCTCCCCACAACAGACACCCTGTGAGGGAGGTGGGGCTGAGAGAGCTCTAAGAGAACTGCTCTTGAGAGAGCAGCTCTGAGAGAACTGTGACTGACCCAAGGTCACCCAGCTGGCTTCATGTGGCGGAATAGAGAATCAAACCTAGTTCTCCCAGATTACACTCTGTGCACTTAACCACTACACCAAACTCTTTTGGGTTTAGTGTCAATAGTGAACGGCAGTATCCCTACACTACCAAGTTTAGAGCCTGCGCCACTTATCGTAACCCCCACCCCATATTTTGCCACTTTTTCAGTGCAATTGTTGCTAAGAGCAACTGATTTTCACCACCTCAAACAGGAAACAGAGAGGTGTGGTTTACTCTGTTCTTTCGGCCTTCATCTTCATTCTCACACAGTGCATCCAAACCCTACCCTGAATCTCAACACTCTCTCATTGGTGGTAGCTAAGCCAGAAGGTGAGGGTGTTGGTACCTCCTCCCGAGGAACTGCACATCCCAGTTTTGTTTTGCTTTGGAGTCCGAATGCAGGAGAACTTCACTTGAATCTATTTTACAATCTTCAAACAAACAGATAGTCCTGACTCTACTTGCCTTAGCAAAGATGGAAATCGCGGCTAAGTGGAAGGATAGTAGGGATCCTTCTATCTCAGCTTGGCAAAATAGGATATGGGACTGCTTTATAACTGCTAAATTGACTGATAAAATCCTATGAGAAACACATACCACCTATAAATCACGACTGTTACATACTTGGGCACCAATCCTAGACTACCTGAAGTCGCAAGCTGTGATTCCTGCTACGGCCCATAATTTGGACCTGATAAATCTCTGATTAGCCTCATGTTAGGTCTACAGTCTGTTCTGTGGAGTGTAGTTATAGTAATTTATTGAGTTAGAGCCTTGTTGTTTTATAAAGTAGTTTATATTAACCTTTTTTTAATTAGGGGGGGGTGAGGGGAACCCGGGGGATTGTTGAAGTTATTTTTAATGTAAATTCTTCATATTTTTAAATTTAAAAAAAAGAAAAAAGAAAAAAAAGAATGCAGGAGAACTTTTTTGGTACACCATCAATTTAAGAAGTCCCTCTCTCACACGAGTAGCTTTATACCACGATGCACTCAAACGTTTTGGAGTATGGGTTCATTTTACGGTTACTCTGACGTAGCCATGCCAGCATCTCGCAGAGCCCAAAGGCAGCCTAATCTCCAGAATATGGCACTGAGCAATCAGTACTATAACCCAACAGTTCCTCCCCAGTCTACGCTTTAAACCGGAAAAAACTGTCACAGCTCTTGGAATACAAAATTGCCATTCATTCTCAAACAAAATGCCACTATGTTAATTAATTACTTCATCTACTCTTCCTAATTGGGTGATAATTCAAATGGGGCATAAATAGAGAGGCACATTTCGTTCCTTGTCATTTTCATATCCACGGTTGCTCAGCTGGTTAAATTTCACATTGACAGTCGCTTTAGCTGGTTTCTCAAAGGGGACAGTGATAATTTCGGAGAGATGGTCAAGCATGAAAAGTGCATTATTCATAGCTCAAAGCTCCAGGATTCTGCCTGGACAAGATCACGTCTTGAAAACACAAGAGGAAATGCCGATTTGCATCTATTAGGGTTGTAAATCACATTTCTGACTTATACGCCTTCGTTGGTTGAAATCTGTAATTCATGCCCTTGTGGCCATGACTTTAATAAACTTAAGTAACATGCAAAGTAGCAGCCCAGCCAAAAACCTTTATGTCTGATAGTTTGACAGCTCTGGGTTTAACAGTCCCAAATCTGGTAAGAATGCAGACGCCATTTCTCCTTTCTGAAAGCTAACCTTTACGCCCTGAAAATTTCTTTCGGTTTCTGCTTTGTTGACTTAACCATCGAGCAACTTTCCACGGGTGTCAGAGGAAGGGTCAGCTCTCTCATGCGCTAAATAGTCGAAACAGATTTGCCGTGCGTTTTCCTCCAAATCAAGGAAAAATAAAATTGCACTGGTGAATAAACTGTCAGGTAGATTAGCATCTGTGGGCTCAGAATTGTGTTATGGATTCGTGAACACAATGCCAGATTTAACTTGGGGTCAATGCTTGATCAGTAAACACCCTGAAGGTCACTCTTGTTAAGGGAACCATATTTTTGGCGCCCCTTGCTTAACTTCTGTTGTTCGGCACCCATCACAGCCACTTAAAGTAGCCACATACATCTCCTCCATGGACAGCAGTGTCTTATTAATGCAGCATTCAAATTTGTAGTTTTGCTCAAAGGGCATTACAATGAGCTTAGCGGCACTTAAGAGCATTGAAGTGCACTGTGTGGCTACCTACTTATCATCAGGGAAAGCTCTTGCCTTTTCAAACTCTGCTTTAAGGAGGTTTCTGGTTAAATCAATGCAATGGTTGGGCAGGGTGGTTGGAAGAGACATTAGTTGCCCAGATGTCCTTTGCATGCACTTGGAATTGTCCCTCCCCACAGTTCCTGACTGTGTATTGTTCTGTTTTCAGAAGCTATCATGTGGAGTTCAGATGACATGGATTGAGCCACTTTCCTAACCCTTCTCAAGGCAAATTTAAGACCAACAGAGGTTTATTCGAGTGTGCATGCACACTTTTTCAAATACACTGGAATGGAAGGTAAGAGTTCAAACTTATAGACAGAGGCGGAACAGCAAATTAACATGTAGCATGAAGATGATATTTTAAGATATGGGAAGACAAACCTAAATAACAAGCTAAGGTGTTAAGGTCAACAGTTGTTTTGATTTGATTAAGGGGGAAAGAACAGTAAAGCAATAAATATGTTAAAATAGGAGATAAATGTGTAAAGGTGTCTTTTTAAAAGTAAAAGGTCTTAAAGGTGCCACTGGACTCTAAATTTATTCTGCTGCTTCAGACCAACATGGCTGACCACATGGAACTACCTTATCAAGACTAGTGTTTTTTCAAGCACGTGGCTCTCCTATGAATTCTCACCCCATGGTTGGGTCCAGTGCAATGCCTTTGGGGTTGTAGAGCTCCAGATCAAGCAGTGTAACACAGGTGTCCCCATTTTTGTTGCAGACAAATATCCGGTCATCGATGTCATCCACAAAGTAGAAGTTGCCCGTGAGCCAGTCAATGGCCATCTGCTCCACATCTATTGAAAAGAAACAAACAAGGGTTCAGGTATGAATCCTCTCAGAGAACCTAGCAATCTTGAACTGTACAACATGAATTTAATCTATCTGCACAAGAAGTGCTGTTCATCATCATAAATGAGTGTTTGATTCAGATACGGAAGATGCCCCATAACCTTTCCGTGGTTAAGTGAGTAAATCAATAAGCCAACATATAAATAGCAAATGGCAGGCTTTTCCCCGGGACTGGTCTCTTTTGAAAACTGTACCTCTGTAACTCAGTTCTTCACTTGGATCTCCTGAAAAAGTGTGGCCCAGAGACTGCAAACTATAAAGAAAGCCCTCCAATGCCTCCCTGAAAGTTCACTTCTCACAAAAGGGAAGGGCAGAATTATACAACTGTTCCTGGGGTTCAAATGGGTCTCTGAAGATCAGCTCAACCCGCCCAACATACCAGAGCTAAAACGGGTGAGCAAAGGCCCATCAATATGTCAATAGGCTATACCATTTCAGGCTAGAACGTTAGGAAATGATTAGCTTCAATTGTTCTACCTTGCATGTCAGTTGTGTATGAGTAAAGAGTATTTCACTCGAACGTGATTCTCTACCTGCAATCCGAAACGTTACAGTCCAGAAACTGATCATCAAATGGATATTCTTTCTCATCTGTTTCAGCTGAACTTTGTTCTCTTGAGGAGAAATGCCTAGCTTGGTATGGTTTAATGTAGGATTAATAACAACCCTGTTTGAGCATCACTAAACCTACATTTAAAATAAAATTCTCCTAGGGAAATATCGGCATGTATCCAACACTCCATGACCTGGATGGCCCAGGTTAGCCCAATCTCAACAGAACCTTGTAAACTAAGCAGGGTCAGCCCTGGTCAGTAGTTAGATGGGAACCACCCAGGAAGCCGAGGGTTCCCAGGCCTTGAAAACCCTACCGGGTCGCCATAAGTTGGCTACAACTTGATGGCACTTTCCACCACCAGCCAGCGAAGCTCGGACCTTGCCAAGCAAGAATTCCCTTCCTCCCCCTTACACTGCTCCCCACTGAACCCTTCCCGTTTCTTTCCGCCCACCAAAAAAGCAGCACAGGGGGCAAAATGGGAGTCTCCTCCAGTGGGAGGAGAGAATCATCAGCATCCCAACCACACCATACACATAGAATCATAGAGTCATAGAGTTGGAAGGGACCTCCAGGGTCATCTAGTCCAACCGCCTGCACAATGCAGGAAATCCACAAATACCTCCCCATGGCACGAATCACAGGCAAAGGTTTGTTTATCCTATTCTACCTCTGTATAATGGAATTTCAGAGCAGGATTTGACCGTTTTCTTGCTCTCTGATATTGATGCACATGTTACTAGCAGAATGGCTTTGTTCGCACTGGCGGCGAAAAAGATAAGACTGGGTCTAAGACTTACTGTAAGTTACTGATGTATACTGTTGGTTGTGCTTTGATTTATTTTGTGTTGTTATGGCCAATGGCTAAGACAATAAACTAAACTTGAACTACCAAATACCGCCCCACCACCACCCCCAGTGACCCCCTGCTCTATGCCCAGAAGATGGCAAAAAAAACCCTCCAGGATCACTGGCCAAACTGGCCTGGAGAAAAATTGCTTCCTGACACAGACCCTTAAGGCTTTGGAACCGCATGGTTAAACATATGCCCCGTGTTTTTATCTGGAGGAAACCTGTAACAACATGAACACCCTCCCCATTGTTAGGGATGCCACACTGTTGCCATTAAGAGACCTAAGACTTTCATTAAATACAGCTTTTCTCACCACAGAGCTACAAAGATGGGGGGGGGAAAGCAAGTGGCCAAATTTCCTTTCCTGGCAACTCTAAAGAGAAGAAGAAGAAGAAGAAGAAGAAGAAGAAGAAGAAGAAGAAGAAGAAGAAGAAGAAGAAGAAGAAGAAGAAGAAGAAGAAGAAGAAGAAGAAGTTGGATTTATACCCCGCCCTTCACTT